AGAGTCAGAAACATCGATCAGCTGCCTCCTGCACACCCCCTACTGGGGATGTGCCTGCAACCCAGGTACATGCCCTTGACCGGAATCGAACCTGGGACCCTGGAGTCCGCAGGCTGATGCTCTATCCACTGAGCCAACCCGCTTAGGGCCTGAAGCCTTTTGAAAGTCTTCACATACTAACGGATTTCCAGAGTGTGGAGATGCTCATTCCACGTAGAATTTGGGTTTTTACGAGTTTGCCGTCTTTTTTTCAGCGATTTACAGGAAACCAGATTGCAAAGATTCACCAGCAGAACCCCGAGGCCTACTCACACACGGAGGTTGGTTAAACGTTCCCACTTGATTGAAAGTCACGGTTGAATTCCTTTTCTAATAATTATCTTCAACAGAAATACATCTCATGTGCATTGGTGGGAAAAAACACAGACATTGATTAGCGGGCATTAAAAATGATACATTCACTTTGCTTCCTTCTCTCATTTGGAAAACAATTTGCTTGTTTCTGTGGCTGGGCCCAACGCGCCTTTTTAATCTTGGAAGTTAACATCCAATTTACATTATAATGATTCAGGATTACTTTGCAGCGTTAGCCAGGGGTGGAAAGCCCGCTCGGAATTCTGTGGGAAACACCGGACAGAGGTGGCTGATGGGGGCAGGAGGTGTTGGCATTCTCTGCCCTGGTCCAGGGGCCCGTGGTTCCCTTGTGGAGGCCCAGACCCCCGAGCTGACATCTGAAATCTGTTATCTGTTCCTGCAGCTCCTGTCTAGGCCAATCGAAAGCTTCCTAGGGGCCGGCTTTCACTGATTCTTGCTCTGAACCCTCAAGTGTCTTTTTTGGGTCTGAGTCCTGCGGTCACACATCCCACTTCCCTGTGACTAGATACAGCAGTGGTTCTCAGCCTCCTGGCCCTTTAAATACAGTTCCTCATGTGGTGACCCAACCATAAAATTATTTTCGTTGCTACTTCATAACTGTAATGTTGCTACTGTTATGAGTCGTAATGTAAATATCGGATATGCAGGATGGTCTTAGGTGACCCCTGTGAAAGGGTCGTTCGACTGCCAAAGGGGTCGTGACCCACAGGTTGAGAACCGCGGAGATACAGAGACCACAGAAGGGGAGGCAGGAAGTCGGCACCACGCTCCCTGGATGCCGGGTGGAAAACCCGCTCCCCTAAGTGTGCCTTCCTCTGTTCAACTGACAGTTGTATGGACTGTCGGAACCTGCGGGGTGAGATGCCTCGGCCATTACTGGGGCATCTTGCTCATAATATAAAGCTCTTCTCATGTGTGTATGTGTGTGTGTGTGTGTGTGCATGTGTGTGTGTGTGTGAAGTATTCAGTTGCTTAGAGCAGTGGTCGCCAACCGGTGGTCCGCAGACCACTGGTGGTCTGTGAGGTCCGAAAGGTTGGCGACCGCTGGCTTAGACTCTATGGAAGTGAGTCATATCTCAGTTTCCTTCTCTTACAGAGAATTTCCTTGGTCAGCAGTTTTGCCGCTTCCCTGTTCCTGGGGTCCTACTGCCCTATTGACTACAGTGACGGTGAGTGGGCCTGCGGAGTCCTGGGCGTGTGCCCATGCAGGGGGCATGCAGGCAGTGTGGGCCTCGTCCACCTGGTCGGTGCCAGTCTTTCAGGCCTGTTATCTGCTGCCAAGCGGGGAGGGTGTTAGTTACCTTGCTGTTGGCAGACGACCGAGCAGTTCGCTGCTGCAGGTCACAAATGTTTCTTTGCCCAGAGTCTCTGAAGGTCAGGAGTGTGGGAGCAGTTTAGCCGGGTGATTCTGGCTCAGGAGCTCTCGTGAGGGGCCGTCCAGCTGGCGACCCTGGGCTGCAGCCATCCAGAGGCTGGAGGATCCAGGTTCACACACAGGCCTGTTGGTCAGAGGCCTCGGTTCCTGCGGGGCTGTTAATGACAACACGGCTGTATTCCCTAATCTGGGAATTGAGGTGCCATCACTTCTTCCCCAGCCTACAGTCGCACAGACCCACCCAGGTGTGGGGAGGGGAGGACCTCCCAGGCGTGAACACCAGGACTCGGGGTGAGCTGGGGCCAATCTTGGAACCTGGCTCCCCCAGAAGTCACTTACTGACGTTTTTGTTCACATTTGGGAAACTCCTGGGAGTTGTGAGCTTCTGGAATGAAAACCTGAAGTGACCGCAGCTGGGATAGCGCCGCGTCACTAGCTGAGCCTGCGAGCAGTGCTTCCAGCATCTTAAGGCGATCAGACATTTCTGATGGTTACGATGTGCAGCAGCCGGGGAATGAAGAAGAGCCGTGGGAACGTGCGGAAAGAGAGGGGTGTTTAAGCACAACAAAGGGAAACAGCGTCTGAGGGCGCCAGAGCTTTGTAACAACTTCCTTCCTCTCTGAAATCAGTAAAAGCATATTTTAGAAAAATAAAATAAAAAGCCTGAACAAAACTAAATGGAAATGGTAGCAGCGAGGGAGGAAGGCCGGGAGGAGATACGGAAGGAACTCTTGGGTGGGCCTAGGCTGCAGGAGTGACCAGAGCAGGAGGAGGATGTAGAGCAGGAGCCCAGACCCGGGAAAGTGGCTTCAGAACAGAGTGAGTGCTCTCAGCCCCCGGGAATCCAGCTGACGTTTTCGAGTGCTGTCGTGTTCCAGACGTTATTCGAGTTTTCAGGGGGGAAAAATGGGGCGGTTAAGGAGTGCCCCCCCTCCCCCCAACAATCCTCACTCACAGCCTGGAGATGTAAAGGTCCCTGCAGCTAATGGCATAGAACTCAGATCAGCAGAACTTACACATGGGCGAGCGGGGTGTGCACCGTGCTCCCCACCTCTCCCTGAGGCAGAGTGAGTGCCTCTGGGGCAGGTCACACGCTGCTCACTGCTCCACGATCTTCAGCCTCCGCTGGGCCTTCCGCTCCCTCACCTGAGGAAGCACCGCCTAACTTACCAGCTGCCTCTCATGGGCAGGTGACTCCATCCCCGCCCCAGCCCCCTCTGTCTGCCTCCACCTGTGCTCCGGTTCCATCCCCTTCCCCATCCCGAGGAAAGCCTTGGGAGAAATAGATCGTGGTAGCCAAGACAGGTGAGCTCAGTGAGGAGCAGGAGGAAGGTGAGGGGCATCTGAGCGCTCTCCCCGAAGTTCGATGTGGTTGGGAAGTCACTGAGGGCTGGCCCACATCAGCAGTGGGCTACCTCTGAGGAGACAGCTTGAACTTCAGGGGACACAGAGCAGTTCCTTGTCAACATATTCCCTTCCCCTGGCCAGGTCGCGGCCAGGTCTGGGAGCAGCAGCTTTCCAGGTAGCTGTGGTGTCTGAGCTGCTGGGAAAGTATTTGGAAGAAGCGGGGGTGGGGCAGGGCCTGTGTTTCCCAGGGCCCTGTTGGCGGCTGGCTGGCTGGGTCCAGCGTGACCCAGGCACATGGTACACCTTCCGCTGGTCCGAGTTCGCTGCGAGAGCATGATCCGCCCTCCCAGATCTGTGCATTTTTGCAAGATGTTTCTAATTCTTGTTTCCTGCCGTCCGTAGGTTCTGGAATGAACTTGTTGCAGATCCAGGACAAAGTCTGGGCCCAGGCGTGCCTTGGTGCCTGTGCACCCCATTTAGAGGAGAAGCTGGGCCCCCCGGTACCGTCATGCTCAGTTGTGGTAGGTCCTCTTTCCGGGGACGTGGCTCCTTTAAGAGCTGGAGGGAACAAACCTTTCTTCCCAGACACCAGGAAATCTTACCATGTATTTTAAACTTTCAGGACTAAAGTAAAGTCAGGGAAAGGGGGGAAAAAACACTTTCTTTTCCTGATTGTGCTTTCTAAAGATTACCCATCTGTCTAGAGGGGTCCCTGCCCTCTGGTCCCACAGCAGCTCATGGAGGCGCCTGAGGACCCTGGTTCCTGGGGGCCCCCCTGCCCGCACTGCCTTTTGGGTTTATTTTCTGTGGACCGTTAACATCGGCGTTCATGTGTTCAGTTATTCTTTTTTAAAAAAATGTTTATTAATTTTAACGAGAGAGGCAGGGAGAGAGAAAATCATCTATTTGCTGTTGCTCTTACGAATGCATTCATTGGTGGTTATTGTATGTGCCCTGACCGGGGATGGAACCCCCAACCTTGGCATAGGGGGACGATGCTCGAACCAACAGAGCTCCCCGGCCAGGGCTGCCCAGTGGTTCTTAATCCGATGGCTGGGCTGATGGGGGTGGGGTGGGGGGGGCGTGTCAGGGTTTGTCTACTCCCCCGAGTTGGCTTACGGGTGCCCCCCGGTAATTCATTTGCTTAGTTTTCCTGCTACATCCAGAATTTGAAGCTCTCGTGACATGTCCAAGTTGCAGACGGGCTTGCTCTGGTGACCTTGGCTGTCAACACCAAGTTGGTCTTCGAGGTGGTGGGATGACCTGTCTGTTTTCATGCTACATCCAGAAGTTGAAGCTCTCGTGACATGTCCAAGTTGCAGATGAGCTTGTTCTGGTGACCTTGGCTCTCAACACCAAGTGGTCTTCGAGGTGGTGGGATGACCTGTCCGGGGCTCCTCTGGCCTTTTGTGAGCAGGAGGGACATCCCGGTTTGCCACAGGGAGTGATGTGGCTCCGGGCTGTGACCTGGAGCCGGTCCCAGTCCCGTGGCCTGCGGGTGGACGCTGTGCTGGGAAGGCAGGCTTGGCCTCAGCAGAGGGTCCCGGCTTTTCCTCCTCAGGGGCCCGTTTCCTCCTACTACGTCCAGCGCTACGGGTTTCCGCCGGGATGCAAAGTGGTGGCCTTCACTGGGGACAACCCAGGTGAGTCCCTGGTGGGTATCGCTCCCCAGGGAGCCTGCCTTGGTCCGTAGCCTGGCCTCTGTGAAGCCCCCCTGGGGTGGGGTCCCGCCCTCCCTGGCTGCGGGCTCCACTCCTGAAAGCTGGCCCCCTGGACTTGCCCCACCGTGGCCCTGCCTGTCCTCAGGAGCCACAAGGCCGCCTCCCCGCCCAGGAGAAAACTGACGGTGATCAAGGAAGGCAGCCCTGCCCACAGCTCCTAGACCTGCCATTTCTGGTCCAAGCTAAACCTCCCACTCCCTCTCACCCTTCCTCTGGGACCCGGTTTTGAGGCCCTACCCGTCATTTGATCTACTGGCTTATTCCTCATGCACACACCTTGTTTTCCTTTCAAAGTGAAAATAAGTTCATTGAGTCTCCTTAGGAGCACGTGTTAGTTCTTACTCCTCTCCCGACGAGAAGAACACCCGCCCGGGAGGATACTGGGCTTGCTTCTAACCCTGAAGTGTCCGCTTCGGGACACGTGTGAGCTGAAATGGCAAAGAAGCAGCTTTCTATCCTTTTATTGGACTTTGGTTTCAGGCCGGTCCTGGTGTTTTGATCTGGCCCCCTCCGTTCTCGGTGCTCCTGGGAGCCCCTGACGGTGGGTGGGGAGTGTGGACTGCCTTAGGGAAGAGGTCCCAGCCCAAATCAAAGGCCCTGATCACAGAGCCTCCACTCTCTCGCCCCTAGGATATCCTTTGGGGACCTCTGAGCCCTCAGCTCACCCTGTTCCTGCCTCTACCCTTAGCATGTGGGTTCAGGGAGGGGGTGGGGGCTGTGCTCCCATCTGGGGGGCGATTGTCGTTTGCTCCGTGGCTCCGAAGTGTCTAACCAGAGGCTCCCCTCCCGTCCTCAGCATCGCTGGCAGGCATGAGGCTGGAGGAAGGTGACATTGCGGTAAGGTGACTACTCACGCCCACAGGTGGAGCCAGCTCTGTCTGCCCTGGGGGTCATCGTTGTTGCCTATCAGAGGGCCTGCTGGTTCCAAAGGGCAGCGGAGGGAGGGGACAGGGAGACCCAGGGCCTGCCCACATCTCCTCTCTTAGAAGGCCATTTGCCTTGGCTGAGTCCTCTGCCCACCTTGACAGTGGCCAGTCCTGGCGGGCACAGTGGCAGAAGGTGTGAGGATGTGAGCTCCCCAGTGAGAAAGGCAGACACCACCCATGCCCTCCTGGGTGTATTGGGCAGTCGCTTGGGGAACCAGTCATCCATCACCCACACCATTAGTTAGACACAGTTGTGGTGAGTTCTAGAAGGTCAGCCCATAGGATCCGGGACAGCCTGTATCTGGGGAGCTGACCTTGGGCTCCTGTGGTGTGCGAGGGTCAGAACAGGTTTCTCCCTGGAAGTGGCCTTTACTCTGCGGTCTGCAGCGTGAGGAGGGAAGCGATGGGGTCAGGGCGGTGGAGCTGGGCAAGGACAGGGTACCTCACCCTGCCCATCTCTCCTCAGATCAGCCTGGGCACCAGCGACACCCTGTTCCTCTGGCTCCAGGAGCCCACGCCTGCCCTGGAGGGCCACATCTTCTGCAGCCCGGTCGACCCCCGGCACTACATGGCGCTGCTCTGGTAGGTTGGGTGGGGAGGAAGGCCGTCTGCCCCCATTGGGAGCACCCCAAGTTGTCCCCCTGTGCAGGCTCCTGTGGGCAGCTGAGACCCCGGGACGCACTGGGTCCTGCTGACATAGAGCTGGGTGGGAGCAACCCAGGACCTGGAGTCCCCCAAGCCCAGGTCCCAATTCCAGCCCTACCACCCCCACCCTGGGTGCTCAGCCTGTGTGTGACCTGGGGCAGACGCCCTAGCACAGTGGTCGGCAAACTCATTCGTCAACAGAGCCAAATATCAACAGTACTTCTTCAAAATAGGCTCGCCCGGGCCGAAAACCGACTTCTGCGCATGGGCCGCGTTGTTTCAATCGCACTGTATGCGCGCCCGCATGTGGTATTTGGTGGAAGAGCCACACTCAAGGGGCCAAAGAGCCGCATATGGTTCCACAAAATACCGACTTCTGTGCATGGGCCACGAAGTTTCAATCGCACTGTACGTGCGCGCCCGCATGTGGTATTTGGTGGAAGAGCCACACTCAAGGGGCCAAAGAGCCGCATGTGGCTCGCGAGCCGCAGTTTGCCGACCACGGCCCTAGCATGTCTGGGCCACACTTTGTTCATAACCTGAGGAGAAGGGGAGCGTTTACTTTGTACTGTGAAGACGTGTTTGGCACATGGTCGATTCAGTTCCTCCAGGAAGGGGGTGCGCTGAGCACAGGCCTTCAGACACTCGCTGAAAACTACTGAGGGAGGTTTCTGAGCCTCTACGCCCCAGGAACTGCTGGGGAATATGTGGGTCTAGCAGATCTAGCCAGCCCCTCCCCGTTGTCCAGGTGGTACCACGTGCAGAACCCCAGCTCCCTGCCCCTCTTGGGGCTCCTCTGTGGCAGCCTCCTCTGTAAACAGCCCGAGACAAGTGCATTTCCAGGTGATTCCTGGGACCTGAGCTAGGCCTGGGACCTGAGGGAGAGCCGCCGATCCCTGCCATGCAGTGGCTGGGGGTTGTGGTCCAGCCTGACCTGCAGCTCCTCTTCTTGGCAACACGTGTGTCCAGTCAGCAAGCACTGGGGCGCTCCCTCAGGGTTGTGTGCACTTCTGCAGCTTTAAGAATGGCTCGCTCATGAGAGAGAAGATCCGCGACGAGTCGGCTTCTGGTTCCTGGAGCGAGTTCTCAAAGGCGCTGCAGTCCACGGAGATGGGGAATGGCGGAAGCTTGGGTAGGCTATTGGGTGCTGCGCAGGCCAGGCCTGGGGAGGGGCAGCAGCTGCCTGTGGAAGGGGCAGGGCCTGGCGCCCCGTGAGTAGGGGGAGAGGAGGGCCAGGGAGAGGCCCAGGAGAGCCCTGTGTGTCTACACTTGTGCTCCATGGGCCTGACAGCTGGTCTGACACCCTGTGTTCTGAGTGAGGCTGGGCTGGAGGCTGCCCTGAGTGGAAGATTGGGCCATCGCTGCATCTCCTGCCCCCTCAGAGCGCCTGGTGGCAGCCACAGTGCCTGCTCCCTCTGGTGCATCCTGTGCACAGCTTTCTGCTGCAGGCACCAGGTCCTGTTAGGAAAAGTGCCCAGTGTCTGGAACAGGCCTCTGAGCAGGGAGGGGGCGTGGGCAGGTATTTCAGGGCTAGTGGGGCAGCTGCCCGTGGCCCAGCTGCCGGGTGAGCGTCGGGAGAGCTGTCTAAGGAAACTTGCCGAGGCCTTTCCGGATGCCCTCTGTCCTGCCGGAGGGCAAGGGACTGAGAGTATTCGTAGATGTCCTCCCGTGGGTGAGTGGGGCCCAGCGACAGAGATGTGGGGTCGCTGCACCCGCCCTTTCTCTAAGTCTTGAGACGCCCACCTTTTGTTTTTGATTGTTGACGGCTACTCTCTTCCTGGTCTGTTTCAGGTTTTTATTTTGACGTCAAGGAGATCACCCCTGAAATGATCGGGCGTCATAGGTTTAGCCCAGAAAACCGTGAGGTACGTGCTACATGTATTGGAGCTGTATGGGCTCCAATTCTGAGTATTACATTTAACAGTTGCCTATGGAATGATGCTCCTTTTAAGGGCTCCATTCATTCACTCATCCATCGATAAAACAAATGTTTTTGAGCCTCTGGCCGGGTAGCTCAGTTGGTTAGAGAGTCGTCCTGATACACCAAGGTTTCGGGTTTGATCCCTGGTTGGGGCACATACAAGAATCAACCAATGAAAGCATGGATAACTGAAACGACAAATCAAGGTCTCTCTCTCTCTCCTCTTCCCCCGCTTGCTCTTTCCCCCTCTCCCTCCCTTACTCTCTCTCCCTCTCAAATCAATTAAAATAATTTATTTTGATGTGCCAGGGTGCATGCTCGATGTGGGGAGTCAGCAGCTATGCCTGAGATCCACTGGAGGCCTGAGCCATGCATTCTGAGTCCGGGTCATTGGTTAACATGCTAACACACACATGAGTGACAGTGAGAGCTCCTCACTCCGTGCTTGCTGTCTCCTGGACACAGGTCCCAGCGTTCCCTGCGGATGTGGAGATCCGAGCACTGATTGAAGGACAGTTCATGGCCAAGAGGATTCATGCGGAGGGCCTGGGCTATCGAGTCCGTAAGTGAGCCATGGCGGGCTGTGTTCTGGGGCGGGAGCCCGGGTCTCGCTCGCACCACGGGGCTTGCGGTCTGTTCGGCCGTCAGACGTGGCCTGGCGGGGCCTGTCTGTTAAGGCTCCATCGCAGGGGCCTCAGGCAGGAGAGAAGAGGAGCCTGACCCTGGTGGGGCCTGAAAATGAGGTGACTGGCTCGTGTGGGCAACCTACATGAGGGGACAGGTGTTCCTGTTTGCCCGCTCTATCCCCTGTAGCCTCATCTCCAGGCCAGGAGCTATAGGATTGACGATCTTTCTTTCTTTTTTAAATATATTTTTATTGATTTCAGAGAGGAAGGGAGGGGAAGAGAGAGATAGAAACATTAATGATGAGAGAGAATCGTTGATTGGCTGCCTCCTGCACGACGCCCACTGGCGATTGGGCCCGCAACCAGGGTAGTGACCTGACCGGGAATCGAACCGTGACTTCCTGGTTCATAGACAGACGCTCAATCACTGAGCCACACCGGCTAGGCTCGGCAATCTTTCTGTAACCCTAAGCTCCAACCTGCAAACTGAATGTCTCAAGACCTGGGCCCTGAGGACATGGGCACGCAGGTGGGATAGGTCTGGGCTGAGGCCATGGCTGGACCTTGACCTCCATCTCGCCTGCCAGGTCCCACCTCCCTGGGGGCACAGTTCTGGGCATTTCAATTCGGATAGGGAGGAGTGGGGATGTGGAGCCACTGTCCACACTGAGAGGTCTGGAACGGAGCAGCAGAACCAGGGCTTGGGGAGCCCATGGGGGAGAAGGGGGTTTCTAAGAACTTGAGCTATGGAATGGGCAGCTTTAGGAGGTGAGTGAGTCCCCCGTACTGATGGCATTGGTATGGTCTGGGGGTTTTGCAAGGAAACCAGGTTTCTAACATGTATTTGTCCCTCTGGGCAGCAGCGGTTGTCACTAGAGAAGGTAGAAAACTGAAGCCCCCTTCGCTGATGGCCTCCTCTGGGTACTTTCACGGGCAGTCGAAGTTCTAGGCAGCACGTGTTATGCTTTCAAACCCACCAAGTAAGCGGATATTAAAAAATAAGCATCAGGGAGACCTTCTGAAGACCTGTTAGGCAGCACCTACTAAGCTGCAGGCACAGCCCTCGGCGGACGTGTGTCAGAAGTATGTACGCGTGTTCTCCAAAGACGTGCCGGAGACCACGCATCAGGGCTCTGTGCTTGATGCCCCACATGGGGAACAACCCAACACCCGTTGATGACAGCCAGGGTACATGCCTTGTGGGTGTTCACACAACGTGATAGTACACAGAAATGAAAAGGGCCCGGCCTCAACCCCATGGGACAGAATCGATCTCACCAATGGAAATCTGAGCAAAAGAAGCCAAACCCAAATACACGTGGCAGGATGCCGTGTACACCAAATTCGAGAGCAGACACAGCTGTGTGCTGTGGTTGGAAGGGTTCTCTAGCTGTCAGGAGGGGCAGCTGGGTGTGCAGGGAGAGGCAGCGAGGGCAGGGAGGTCCTCCTGGGCTCAGGAAGGTAATGCGATCAAGCCATCATTCCCACCCTCTAAAGCATTTCCTGTGCAAAACAGCATAAAGTTACTTATCCTCTTAGCGAGCCTAAAAGTACAATCAAACCTGTTCGCCAGCTCTGCTGGGTTCCTCTCCAACAGGATCATGTAAATGAATGAGGTTGCTCCCCCTACACACACACCTACACTCCCCCCGCCACACACACACCCTCCCAACTCCCCCCGCAGCACTAAGAGGCATCATCTTCCAGCTGCTGTGTGGATGGACCCGCTTGGGTTCCTTCTTGATCAACCCTAATCTTGATAAATAGTGTTTAAAGAGAATAAAGAGGCACTTGATGTAGGGCTGGTGGTCATGATAATAATAGATCCTAACATTTATTAAGCACCTACTGTGTGCCCAGCCTGGTTCTAAGCACTCATTCCTTATTAACAGCAGCGCTCCGAGGTAGGTGCTGGTATTACTCCTACTTCCCAAAGTAGGAAACGTATTGAGTCGCTTGCTTAGCACGTTGAGGCTAGCAGAGCTTCTGAACCAAGCTTCTGGCTCCAGACTCTTGGTTCTTTTTTAAAATTTTTATTGATTTCAGAGAGGAAGGGAGAGGGAGAGAGAGAGAAAAACATCAATGATGAGAATCATTGATCGCTGCCTCCTGCATGCCCCCTACTGGGGATTGAGCCCACAACCCTGTCATGTGCCCTTGACTGGAATCGAACCTGGGACCCTTCAGTTCGTAGGCCGATGCTGTATCCACTGAGCCAAACCAGCTAGGGCCAGACTCTGAGTTCTTAACGACTGGCTACAGATGCTTTATTTAAAGAACCATCGCTCTCTTGATGTTTAGACACTGACAGACATGCACCCATCTGCACTGGGCTACACCATGGTCCCTTTCAGCTTATGTTTCTGTGTATAATTCATTTTGTTGAGGTTGGTTTGTAAAAGCAACCAAACCTTATCTTAGCAAGTTTGGAAAGTAAAGAAAACTACTTAGAATCTCCTCTTCCAGCCCCTTGCACCACCTGGAAGTTCTTCCAGTCTTCCTTATGGGCTTATTTCTATCTTGCTATAGTCCTACCAGTATTTCCTTTGTGCATGCAATCCCTGAAGTTTATCAAAAGCCTGCTTCATGTGCTTTCCCTGCAGTCAGGCAGAGAGGCTATTTTTGTTTCGTTTTTAATATATTTCTATTGATTAGAGAGGGAGAGAGAGAGAGAAACACCAATGATGAGGGAGAATCCATCAGTCAGCATGAGCCCTGACCAGGAATCAAACCGTTCATGGTTCATGGGTCGATGCTCAATCACTGAGCCACACCGGCCGGGCAGCACACAAGTCTTAAAGAGAATGCTTCTAGATGTTTCTGTTAAGAGTGATGTGTGTTGTACATTTTGGACATATGGCCTTCATCCATTTAATTAAGGTCCCTTCTTCCCTTTTTTGGAGAGATTTTTAATAATTAAAAGAAAAAGATGATCTTAAGAGGTGGGTGGGCAGCAGCCACACAAGCCGATTATAGGGGACAGAACCAGCTGAGGGTCTCTCCCCCCATCCTCTGTGATAAGCAAGAACAATGGCCGACACAAGCCCTTCGTGGCTGAAGAACTCCAGGAAACCCCCAGTCATTTTTTTTTTCTTTCTCCTTGCAGTGCCCAAGACAAAGATTTTGGCCACTGGAGGGGCATCTCATAACAGAGACATGCTACAAGTAAGTGTTGAAAGGATCTCTCCCATATCTGTTCATTCTTTTTAAAAAATTGTTTTTTTAAAAAAATTGATTTCAGATAAGAAGGGAGAGAGAGAGAAACATCAATGATGAGAGAGAATTATTGATTGGCTGCCTCTTGCATGCCCCCTTACTGGGGCCCGCAACCCAGGCATGTGCCCTGACTGGGAATCGAACCGTGATCTCCTGGTTCATAGGTCAACGCTCAACCATCCAGCCACACCGGCTGGGTCCATGTCTGTTACTTCTAAGAGCCAGACATTCAGCAGGAGGAATGCCTGTTCCCACTCCTTCCCTCCCAGGAAGCCAGATCCGCTGCCTTGCAGCTTACACTGTGAGCAGGTTGTCTTAGACTCAGGAAATCCGCTCCCTGTCGAACTCCACTCTCTGATCCCAGCACCCGCCTCTGTACTCACGCGGAAAGTGCCTGTCCCACACGTCATACCTGACATCGCAGGCCAGTGTTCTTGCCTTCCCAAAAGCTCTGCCTTCCGTGTAAAGATCTCTGATTTCTCAACCATTCCTCTTGTAATACAGTTGCCGGACTTGGTCACGGTCTTTCTGATCCTCCACTATGCTAGAAATATGTGACCAAAATTGGAATCAACGCGCAGATGTCTGACAATCAGGCTGTTACATCTTGGGGCTGAGTATTTTGGGATGTAGCCTGGGGCTGCCTTAGCTGTTTGAATAACTGCATTGACTCTTGACTTGTAATACACCTGCCTTAGGTAAGATTCTCTAGAAGCAGAGTCTGAAATGGGCATTTCCTATAAAGTGATGTGTTGAGAGAGTTCTCCTGGGAGAGGGGGTGGGAGATGCAGGCAGGGCAGAAGGGCAAGCAAGGATGTGCTTTTGGCTGGCGTCGGCTTCAGCTCCATCCCGTGGGGAGATCCGGAACAGGAACTCTACCTCAGACTCGTTTTCATCTTGGGGTGAGGGGGCCAACCGGCCGTCCTGGGAAG